TTTCCCCTTCCCCTTTTTCCCTTCCTCTTTTCCCATTTCCCCATTCCCATTTTCCCTTTCCTTCCCTTTTTTCCTGTGGATTTTTGACCCCACCCAGCAGTGAGGACACCCCATTGCTGTCCCCAGAGGGTGTCACATGGACCCCTCTGCACTGGGGACATCCCCATGTCCCCATCTGTGTCCTCCTGTCACATCCTGGGCTCCTGCAGGTGCAGTGAGGGGATGGCACCCAAAGGCAATCCCACTCCAGGGAAAAGGGAATTCTGGAGTGAAGCTCAGGTGCTCCTGTTCCCACTCAGGGATGGCTTTTTCTGGTGCTCCCAGAGTCTGAGCTGGGTCTGGATTTAAAAACTGGATCTAAAACTGCAGAAAAACTGCAGAAAAATCTCAGTTCCTCCAGGTTTTCTTGGAGATTCAGGTGGGAAATGGAGGGGTTTGGATCCATGGGTTGTCCCTGGTGTTCCCGAGGTGCAGAGGATGCTCCAGGGGGGTTTTTCTCCTCCTCCCTCATTCCTGCCCCACTCCTCCCTCAGGAGATCGCCCCGGGGCAGCTCAGCCTGGAGGATCTGCTGGACATGACCGATGACCAGGTCTGTGCCACCGTGGAGAAGTTTGGGGCCAACAGCGAGGAGTGTGCCCGGCTGAACGCGTCCCTGTCCTGCCTGCGCAGCGTCCACAAGTCCGGTGAGTCTCCCCTGTGCCCTCAGCCTGCCCGGCCTGGGTGCCACCGTCCTGCTCTGGGGGCACCGGCAGTGTGGCTTCAATGTTGGCAGAGCTGCTGCATCCCTGGGGCTGCCTGGGAATCATTTCCTGCAGGGAACACCTTGGGCTGTGCTGGGAAAAGGGTTTGGGGGTGCTGGTGGGTGAGAGCTGGGACCCCAAAACCCCCCTGTCCGGGAAAGGAGGGGGAGATTCTGCCCCTCTGTCCCGCTCAGGTGAGACCTCACCTGCAGAGCTGCCCCTGGCTGTGGGGTCCCCAAAATGAGGAGGATCTGGAGCTGCTGGAGTGAGCCCAGAGGAGGCCATGGAGGTGCTGCAAGGGCTGGAGCCAGGCTGGGAGAGCTGGGGGTGCTCATCTGGAGAGGAGAAGGCTCCAGGGAGAGCTCAGAGCCCCTGGCAGGGCCTGAAGGGGCTCCAGGAGAGCTGGAGAGGGACTGGGGACAAGGGATGGAGGGACAGNTGCTGTGGGGACAATCGGGGCGTCACCACGTCACTGCTGTGCCACTCGTGGGGACACGCCAGGTTTGGGGTGCAGCTCCCTGCTCTGCATCCCAGCTTGTGCTCATTCCCGCTCCCATCCCTTGATCCAAGCCCTGGTTCATCCCAACTCTCTGTGTGAGGGGCTGGGAGCTGTTGGTCCTGGAGCAGCTTCAGGAGAGGGATAACAGTGGTTTTGGGGTGTGCTGAAGACTTTTTGGGATGCACCAGGCTCCAAATCCCCAGGAGAACCTGCCAGGAGGTGCAGGAGCTCATCCCACATGGAGTGATTGGCCTCGTTGAGGTCAGCACTGAGGATTCCCTGTCTGTGTCCCATGGACATGGAGGGGAGTGTGGTGGAGCAATCCTGGTGGGATGCTCCTTCCCAGCACCCCAGTGCCGCTGGGGCAGCCAAACTGGGGCTGGATGGAGGGTTTGGAGGTTTTTGGGGGATGCCATCCTGGTGGGATGCTCCTTCCCAGCATCCCAGTACCACTGGGGCAGTCAAACTGGGGCTGGATGGAGGGTCTGGAGGATTTTTGGGGATGCCATTCTGGTGGGATGCTCCTTCCCAGCATCCCAGTACCACTGGGGCAGCCAAACTGGGGCTGGATGGAGGGTCTGGAGGATTTTTGGGGATGCCATCCTGGTGGGATGCTCCTTCCCAGCATCCCAGTACCACTGGGGCAGCCAAACTGGGGCTGGATGGAGGGTTTGGAGGTTTTTGGAGGATGCCATCCTGGTGGGATTCTTCTTCCCAGCATCCCGGTGCCACTGGGGCAGCCAAACTGTGGCTGGATAAAGGTTTTGGAGGTTTTTTGGGGGATGTCATCCTGATGGGATGCTCCTTCCCAGCATCTCAGTGCCACTGGGGCAGCTCAGATGGGGCTGGGTGCAGGGTTTGGAGGTGGTCAGGGGGTTGTTATCCTACAAATACTCACAGGAAAGCACTGGATCACTCAGGTGGAAGGTGTTCCTGTCCATGGGGTGGAACTGGATGAGCTTTAAGCTCCTTCCAACCCAAACCATTCCATGATTTTGTGATTTTTACTGCCTGAACGTGTGGATTCTCTGCTGTCCCATACCTCTCCAGCCCCTATGGATCCCTCAGTGCCAGCCACAGGGAACTCTGGCATTGCCATCCCTGAAACACCCCCAAACCGGGAGCTGGGGATGTTCCAGCCAAGGACATCCCTGCTGGCACTCTCTGGTTGTTTTTCACCTCAAACCCAGGGTGATTCCCACGAGGGGAGTGAATCCAGGGCCACATTCCCAATGCCAGCCCTGGGCTGGCTCCTGGCGTGTTCCTGGGTTGCCACCAGCGTCAGCAGGAGCTCAGCTTGGCCCTGAGTCCCCAAGTCCCCGAGTCTCTGTGTCCCTGAGTCCCTGCTGCCACCAGCACGTCCCAAGGACATGGCACAGACTCTGAGTCTCGCTCTGAGCCTCTTCCCTTCCCATCTGGGGGCAGCAGAGCTGGGCCAGGCAGTGCCATGGCAAAGGGAGGGGCAACCAGGGATGTGGCACTGGGGACAGCGCCCAGCCCTTGTGTCAGCATGAACCTGGAATAAAACGGGAGAATCCGTGGGGTTTTGGTTCATCTTCATAGGCTAAACATTGATTTTGCTGGATTAATAGAAGTTTTTCCCTTCTTTTTTTTTTGGGGTTTGTTTTTTTTTTTTTTTTTTTTTTTTTTTTTTTTTTTTTTTTTTAAGCCACCTTAAGGTAGATGTGAACTCTCATCCTCCTGCCTCCTGCTGTGCAGCATTTTTGGGATGGATACCAT